CTGTGGATGATCCTGTTCTCATGAAGGTACCTGAGAGCAGAAGCTGACACACAGAAAAAGCCACTTCTAAGAGCATAATTGACAGTACCTAGCATGAGCTCAGTAGGGATTCAATTCTACCCACTGTAAGCATGGCTTTTGGGTCAAATCTTATACAATGAAACACATCAGTGCAAGAGGAAAGTCAGCATCAAACACTTCTGGACACAAGCAGAGTTTTCTCCCTGGGTGTTCCCTCCCATCCTTCTTGTAAACTGTAATAATGCTGGCTAGTTTCAAGTCAGCAGGAACCTCCCCAGACCTTTGAGAGATGATCATAAAAAGTCAGAGTAAGGTGTAGTTATTAAGGTCACTGCTGCATATTTGTAGAGTGGATTCGGCACTAAAAGGGCTTCCCTAGTTCAGACAGCTGGTGGTACTGCAGCCACTTACCAATATCAGACAACAAGATGAGAATGGCTTCCTCCCGCAAGCCACAGCAATTCTCCAACTGATTCAGGTACTGCAAGTAAACAATGCAATGTAAGCTTTCCCTCCTCTATCCCGAGTGAGGCTCAGAGTCCCACAAATTCTCAGGGATGCAAGAAGTCCAAGTAACACCAATCAAATTCTTTAGAGTGGCAGTATCAGCTCAAATCTCAGGTCTGAGCTCTCTTCAACAGAACACCTACGATGAGATGAGAAGTGATCCTGCCCTCGGTCACCTTCCCAGGGCCCTCACCTTGCGGAGATCTCCGCCTTGGCAGTACTCCATGGCCAGCAAGGGCAAGTCATTTGGTGCAAGCTTCTGCATCCCTTCAGGGACATCACGGGCAGCCACCACATTGGGATGGTTGAGTCTGAGAAATGAAAATAAGGCAAGTACACGTCATGTGCTGCTACTGCTACACGGTTTCACGTGCTCGTGGTCATCACTCCAAGTCCTACGTGGTCACTAATCCTTTTAGAAACTGAACTAGTGGATTCTAAAGGTCTGCAATTCATCCATCCTTCACGGTCCTAGACTCATGGTAACTCATTGCATTTCACGTGCAGACAGTGCATTCCTTCAGCGCATACACACGGCAGATCTGCCCGGAAGGCACAGCAACAAGAAGCCACGCAAAGACGGCACCGAGCCCCCGGAGCCCGGCGACAGCTCTGCTTCAGCGCGGACTCGCCCGGGGAGGAGCGGGCACCTCCCGGAAGGATCCCCTGACGGCCTGTCCCGGCACTTCCTCAGCACCCGCCAGATCCGCTCCCGGGGCACGGCGGGGCCCCGGCCCCCTCACCTCTTCATGATCTGTATCTCCAGCGCCCAGCGGTCGCGGTTGCGCGGGCTCAGCTCCTGTCGGCACTGCTTGATGGCCACCTGCTCGCCGGTCTCCTGCGGGACACAGCGCGGGCCGGCTGAGCGCGGGGCCCCGCGCCGGGGCGCCCGGCGGACCCGACCCGCCGCCTACCTTGTTGTGCCAGCGGACGACGTTGCCGAAGCCGCCGGTGCCGAGGCGCTCCCGCATCTCCCAGGGCCCGCAGGTCGAAGCCTGCAGCGCTGGCGGGCGGCTCATGGCGGGCCCGGCTCCTCTGCGCGCCGCGCTTCCGGCTCCGGCCCAGCGCCCGCCCGCCCTCACGGGGCCGGCCCGCGGGGAGCGGGGCTGAGGGGGGACGGCATCGTGAGGGGAAAGCAGAGCCCAAACCAGCCGGGCTGGGCTGAGGGGGGCCGGCATCGTGAGGGAAAGGATAGCCCCAACCCGCCGGGCTGGGCTGAGGGGGGACGGCACCGTGAGGGGAAAGCATCGCCCAAACCCGCCGGGCTGGGCTGAGGGGGGACGGCATCGTGAGGGAAAGCAGAGCCAAACCCGCCGGGCTGGGCTGAGGGGGGACGGCATCGTGAGGGGAAAGCATCGCCCAAAGCCGCCGGGCTGGGCTGAGGGGGAGCCGGCACCGTGAGGGGAGAACATCGCCCAAACCCACCGGGCTGGGCTGAGGGGGGGCCGGCATCGTGAGGGGAAAGCAGAGCCCAAACCCGCCGGGCTGGGCTGAGGGGGGCCGGCATCGTGAGGGGAGAACATCGCCCAAACCCACCGGGCTGGGCTCCGAGACCTGCCGGGCACAGCGGGGCCCTCGGGGTCAGGGCCTGCGGGGCGTGTCGCGGTGTCACACTTGGTCACCGACACCAAACGGCGTCGTCGCTGAGACCACCCCGAGACACGGTCAGTTCTAGGGGAGAGCCGGTAGATGGTGCTTCGGAGAGCACACGCTGTCATCGCTGCCTTCCCTAAATTGTGTTAAGCACTACAAATGGCACCGCGCTCTGGAGAGAAGTTACAGTTGTCCCTAAGCTGTGAAAAGTCAGGAGATAGTTTCTGAGCTCTTCCCCCCACGGCCATTAGTCTGTTAGCATCTTTAACCTAGAAGTCCAGTAGCAAATGGGTGCTGTTTATAAAAAGGAAATAAATTAGCCCCTGCTCACTCAGCAGTGTTCAATCACCTTTTTCTCAGCAACTGGGAGTCCCTTCTGGAAACAGTCAAATGCAGCTGCACTTGACTCAGATTTATGGCAGCAATGTTACCATCAGCACTGTGACTCCTGGAGAAATACATGTGATAATCTTGACATAGATTCCCTTACAGAGAAGAACTAAACATACAGAGTAGCCAGTGTTCCATCTTTACCATTTTGCAAAATAACCCTTGCAATGCTTCCCAAATGAGGACTCCACTCAACTACTTCCCGAAGACCCTCATAGGAACACCAATTCTTATGTCTGTGCTCACACCAAATTCTGTAGGAAACTGGTTGCTAGTGAATCAGTTCCAAGTAGTTAGTACACATCCACTACTCTAACAGTTGCATCACTGACTGTTTTCATAACCCAGCCCTAAGATGATCAGCTCTTAAACTGATAACTCAGATTTGTCTGCCAGACTGATAACTGAATATCACAGCAACAGCAGTGAACGTTTAACTCTCTGGTCCCCAACATGCTGTTCTTTATGTCTGTCTAAAGTTTCTTAGAAATTTTGTTCATTTAACTCACAAGGTCCCCTGACTGTTTCTTCTCCCATGGCACTGTTCAGGGCATGCTTTGCTCCACATGCAGGACAGGGTCTCTCTGCCAGACATCTCTGCTCAGAGGACAGCAGCTTCTCTCGTGTCCTGCACTCGCTCCCTCCCGACACTCCGGCCACCAGCTGCCCGCCTGGACCATCCCCAGATGCTCGGGAAGGGGTGGGATGTGGACAGCACAGCTCGGGGAGTCTCCACCCCCTCGAGTGGAGCTGTAAGTAGGACAGGAGCTGTTCAGACAAATCAGAGCAGAGACACAGAAAACACAAAAACAGACTGGTCTGGAAAGGAAATAATCAGAAGAGAAAAAGCAAAAAGGTAGGTACTACTTTGTACCTGTTTCAAAAAGTGCATTTCCTGTTTTCAACATCAGTGGCAAAGTCATTAACTACTATTAAATATTATTATTTAATAAATCCCACTGAATCAGCATGATAGTTACCTAACTGAGCTATTGCCTTTCAGCTTTTGACGAGATTCATAATGTGGGTAAAGCTGCTAACTTTCAGTTGTTTCAAGAAAGCTAAAGCTTTCTTGAAAGGGCCAACAGCCTCAGGCTCTGACCCATTAAACAAGGAGGAATCTCCTGCACAAAGAACATTAGCAAAAGAACTTAAACCAAAGGAGGAGTTATGGACAAATATCTTTTGGAGACCCAGAGAAGCAGCTGAAAAAGAAAAGTTTATCTGATCTTTCTGGAAGGAGATCAGACTATGCCTCTCATCCCAGGTTCCAAACCAGGATAACCAGGAAGGACAAAGAGGAGGAGGAGTGGGGTCATCTTCCGTTCTCCCTAAACATGCTTTTCTTTAAATGTGGCCAAAACCGCAGGAGTAGTGAGAATGATTCCCAAAACAAAGCCAGATTTTGAAATATCCATTTCCTCCAATGCTTTTAAAGACTACAGCATCTTTTGTTTGTTTGTTTGTTTTTTAACTCTTTCCCCCCAAACCAGGGGTCTATCTGTTATATTTTTAAGGTATTGTTCCACATTGGTAAGATAATGCTCACACTCTCACTGCTTAGAAGGGCTGTTATTAATCATAAATTAATAGGTAGGATTGTAAGTATTCTTGCTGCTGATTATTCAGCAAAGAGAGACAAATTCAGGATATTGTATATCTTTTGTGTCCTAATGTACTTGAAAGTGCCAAATCAAAACATTAGAACATCACATCTAAGTCTTGGACTTCTTGCTGTAGTATTTTCGACGGGAGAGGAAGCACAGGCTGCGATCAGAAGGCACTGTTTAGGAGAGTCCTGCCAGAAAGCACATTGCAGGTTTCTGCTTGGAGTCTTGTGAATGTGGTGTTTTGCAAACAGCCATATGGTTTCAGTTTGACGGGGCTTATCATTCAGAACATTCCAATGGACTGGTCTAAGCTGTACCTTTCCCAGAACTGAAAATAAACATCTGGCAACATCTGTTATCAGTTTTCCAAGCACAGTGGGACAGCAGCCTTCAGTGGATGGAGAGGTATCCCACATGGAGAGATGGAAAGGAGCAGAAAAGGTGGCAGCACTATAAGCTGAGCTAGCCTGGACAGGGACAGCAGACATAAGGGCTAGAAAGGATGTGGCATGTGATGCAAACTAACTTTGGACAGACTATGAACTGCATTGTAAAACCCCTTTGCTCAACATCTTATTTTTTGTCTCTATAGATAACTTGAGATTTGGAGCTGATGTAGAAAACACTCAGAATGGAAGGCAAACTCCCCTGTCTCCTCCTGCTGGTGGGAGCAGTTGTGACTAGCCAGTGCCAGGTGAGATTTTTGTGCCTCTGGAGTGGCTTCCCTGATTCACATGACCTCAAGAAGAAGACTGACTCTCTGCAGACACTTGTTCTCTCAGTTACTTGAAGAGAGCAGTTACTCACAGAATTAACCTTCTTTGCTTGCAGGGCTTACTCACACGTTTCAGACGGGGAGCCAGATCCAGAGGTAAGCCAGGAAACCACAACCCTGTGACCTGAAGCGTGATGAATGTGGGAGGTGGAAGCAAATGATGCTGCAGGAATGATGCTGCTGAAAGCTGTTTGTCATGGTTATCTGAAACAGAGATTCAGAAAGCAAAATACCAGACCATTAGTACCATCCACAACTCACCGAAGTTTTCCCCTCCCACTGCTCTTCTTCAAAGAAAACAAGGCTGGTCAGTAGTGGAACAGTAACTCCAGCAGCACAGCAGTGAGAGAGATGGGACAGCTGTGGTCTGAGGAGGGAAAGGGCAGCCCATTAGACAGGTGCTCCCTTCACAGATATTTTCTCCTGGAAATAGAAGGGAGTCCTTTTGCTCAGCCAGGTCTTTTCCCCGAATCTCTAAATGAGGATTTCCTTTCTCCAATTGCAGCCGTTTGCAAAGACAGTTCATCTGGAGAAATTTTCCAGCACAGGTGGACCTGGCTGAGGCTTTCAGGGAGCAGAATAGAATACTGTAGGTGTGACAGCGGGCGGAGTCGCTGCCACACAGTGCCTGTCAGAGGTGAGTATGACAAAGGAAAAGAGAAAGGGAATGGTGAGGGATGAGAGGCTGTCCATCTAATCACCCTAAACAAGAACTCCACAGTCAGGGCCGGAGATATTGCACAGAAAAGTTGGCTTGAAATAGGATAGAAATGAAAATACCAATATACTCTGACTCAGGCAGGACTGAGTGGGAGTGGGCAAGTGTCCTAGTAGCATATGTGGAGAGAATGGAACAATGCCAGCACTGCACAAAAAGCCTGTAAGCACATGGCAATACCAGGTAGGTGGGGAAAAACAGAACAAGCTAAAGGAGACTGACAGGAAAGGAGAGATGTGTATGCATTGCCAGCTTCTTGCTTCTGTGAAAACTAACAGTATTTCCTGGCTTTTGCTTATTCCACAGCCTGCACTAGAAATAAATGCTACAATGGGGGCCAATGTTCACAGGCATATTATTCCCCACAGCTCTTCATCTGCCAGTGCCACCAAGGTTTCTCAGGGAAGCAGTGTGAAATAGGTGAGTACAGCACATCAGTTCCTGTGAACAGTGACTGGGTTGAGCTAGGCAGTGCAGAAGGATGAGGTATCCAGAAGCTCCTGCTGTATTCTGGGCTCTCTGTTAAGTTGCCTCTTTTTATTCTAAAACTAATACTACAAAGAACTTTTAAGGACACCTGGGCTGTTCTCAGCATCTCTTAATAAAACTCTTAAGTTTTGTAGCTGAAGACACCTTTGTATACACTTAAAGTCTGCTTGACAAGGTGTTTTCACTGACTTACCAGACAAGACATCTGAGAGCCAAGTTTAAACAGAACAGAGACTGGGGAAGCAGGGTTGGGATGTTGTCCTTCCAGTAACATTTTGTTCCCTTTTGTTCAGATACTGAAGTTAAATGCTACAAAGATGCTGGAGTAACATACAGGGGTACATGGAGCGTGACAGAGAGTGGAACTGAATGTTTAAACTGGAATAGCAATGACTTGATGGACTGGACATACAACGGCCAAAGAGCAGATGCTGCTGAGCTGGGATTAGGCAATCACAACTACTGCAGGTGAGGGGCTGATGGCCCACAGATCAGAGGAATCAGCCCATTCAAAGAGCTTGGAGCAAAGCAGCAGCTGTTTGCTGTAGTCTGATACCAAGCAGGTGCAGATATGGCCCAACACATGAGCAGCAATTGCAACTCCTGGAGGCATATCTGAACTTCAGATCTATCTAGACTGGATGCTTATGACAGGCTAAAAGATGCAGATATCTCTCATCCCACAGGCTTTCCCTGGTCCCTTCTCAGTGCCTAAAACTCCGTTTGTAATTCAGTTTCCTGCAGCTCCAGGTCCTGATCAAAACTGTAAAAGCATCGTGCTTTGTGCACATGAACGAAAGTGCACAAGCGTGTTGTCCACCCCTGCTGGCTACTGGCCATCTCATCTCCACCTCCATGTACTCCACAGTTAAAACAGGAATCCAAACACTTCTGAGGGGTCAGTCCATGTCCTCACTGCAGAGCAGGATGAAGCTACCGAACCAGATGGCAGACATGGGACTGCTGACAACAGCTTTATAACGATGCATAATATCATCTCTCTTTCAGAAACCCAGATGAGGACTCTAGACCTTGGTGCTATATCTATAAAGGGGGAAGGTACACCTGGGAACACTGCAGTGTGCCCTCCTGTTCAAAAGGTACGAGCAGGGGGACGGGGAAGGGACTTTGGAGTTTCCATTATTCACTGCATGTATAAGGGCTCGCTGCAGACTCGTGCTGTTTCTGTAGCCTGAAAAGCTGAGACTCTCATGTTAAATTATATGTAAGCTTTTAATGCATATGACACCAAGAGACTGAGATGTATCTGGTTAATAGAGAGATGCCTTGACAAAAATCACACTTAGGAACGACTGAAGGGTTCCATCTGTGGGTTAATGTGCAGCTTTCTCGTTGAAGTTACGAGCACCAGCTGCAGATCTGGGAGAGGCTCAGACTACCGAGGCAGCCACAGCATTACCAGTTCTGGAGCTACCTGTCTGAAGTGGAATTCTGTAATCCTTTTCAACAAGCGATTTACTGCTTGGAGAACAGATGCTTACCAGCTGGGCCTTGGTAGTCACAATTTCTGCAGGTATGTATCGGGTACAGAATAAACAAAATCCCACCAAACTGTCTTGTGGTACTCTTAAGGAGAGGGTTTAGTCTTTACATGGATTATTAAAGCACAGGAAATACATTCCTGCTGGGAATGAAGCTCACATGCAATAGTAATTTTGTTCTGCCTGACCTATCTCTGCTTCTCTAACATCAGACTCCATATATGCAAATTCCATGTGCCCTCAGGGCCCTCTGTATCTCTAGAAAAATCAAAAAGAATACACTGGGGTTGCAGTCTGCCACCTTAAGATCTCCACAAACTCCCTACAGATCTGATAATACAAAGAGCTCTTCTCTTTCCTGTGCTGCAGGAATCCTGACAATGACAGCAAGCCCTGGTGCCATGTCCTGAAAGGAAATCAGCTCACATGGGAGTACTGCAATGTGCCTACTTGCTGTAAGGATACTAGCACTCCTGATTCTTCTCTTTCCTTGAGGCATTACAGTCCTGCATGCCATCTGTATTAAACTCAAGCCTCTTACAGTAAAATAAGAGCTGGAGGGAAAAAAAAAAAGAAAGCTTTTTGGAGTAGGAAGAGATTCTGCAGCTCCACTCTCGCAGAAGTGCCTTTCTCTCTGCCAGAAGGGAAGACTGCAGAAATGGAGGACAGGAAAGGCAGGGTTTCCTTACTGTATTTTTCAAATCCGAACACAAGTTTCCTAGGAAACAGGAGTGAGTCAGATACTAAACAGTTCACAGCAGGCTGCCTGAACACACACGGGTGACTAACAGGCTCTTAACCCAAACTTGGAGCCGGAGTGCCTGCACAAAAAGCCTATTTCTGGGTCTGTCCTCCCCAGCCACCTGTGGCTCGCGGCAGCGCAGGGCCCAGCAGTTCAGGATCAGAGGAGGCTCCTCCGCAGACATCGCAGCCCACCCCTGGCAGGCTGCCATCTTCGTCACCTACCGCCGGCTGCCCGGGGAGCACTTCCTCTGCGGAGGGACTCTCATCAGCTCCTGCTGGGTTCTGTCAGCTGCTCACTGTTTTGAGGAAGGGTAAGTTGAGGATTCAGCACTATCTGGGGGGAAAAAAAAAAAAAAATCTGGAAAATGGAAGCATCCAGTATAGCCTTGGAGAAAACCCTCTTTATCCCAGTAAGCCAGTCTGCACTCAAGATTATGGTTAATTGTGCTGAGCATTACAGAGAGGCATTTATTGTGCAAACTAGCAGCATGGCACTAAGGTACCACAGCAGAATATCAAATAGCAGAAGAACAAAGTTGTCAATACACATGCAGAGCCATCTGAAACTTGAGAACAGCAAGGGGCTGGCAGAGGAGCTTTGCCATGATGGTTGTAAGCAAATAGCACAGAACTGAAGCCAAATAGGTCACCTGAGGTCAAGCTGCCTGGGTAACAAAGTAGTAATAGTGCTAAAATGAGAAAAGCAGAAGTTCAAACAACTCATCTTGAAGGGAAGGGTCCCCTCTAGTTAACATGAGAACAGAGACTCTCTTGTTCTCCAGCTTTAGTACAAATCAGCTGAAGATTGTGCTGGGTAGGACTTCCCGAGCCACTCCCGAGGAAAATGAACAAACGTTTCAAGTGAAGAACTACATTGTCCATCAGAGATTTGACCCAGAAAATTTCAACAATGACATTGGTAAGAACTTTTCTGACCTTGTGGCTGGAAAGCTCACAGTTGGCTCAAGTTTAATAGTGGTTAATGAAGTGAGGATCGTTTTCTCCCTCCTCAGCTCTGTTGCAGCTGAGCTCAGGTGCAGAAACCTGTGCTGTTGAGACAGACACCGTGCGAGCTGCCTGCCTCCCCACGCCAGAGCTGCAGCTGCCTGACTGGACCGAGTGTGAGATCTCTGGCTATGGCAAAAGTGAGGAATGTAAGTAGAAGATACATGTCTACAGGCAAGTCTGTCCAAAGCTTGAGTCCCCTGCCCTCAAAGAACTCAAGTCTTTAGCATTACTGAATGCCTAATGTATCATATTGGCTTATATATGAGCACCACAAAGTGGATGTGTAAGTAGGAGTTACTCAAAACCCAGTTTTGCTGTAAGTTATTTCATTCATCTGAGTTCTCTCAGCTGTATGGGCCAGTAGAGTCTTCCTTGATACTCTCCACAGTACAAAACCAAAAACCTGGCACAGTGGATAAGGTAGGAAAGACAGCAGATTAGCAGTCACAGCTGCCACATTTCTGCTGTACTCAGTACTTTTAGATATTGGAGTTTGGACAGAAATCCATTCCTGCCAAGGTTTGATGTACCTACCATAAAGGTGCAGATTTTTTAAGTGCTTTTAAAGCTTGTCCTCAGCACTGTTTACAGGGAGTACAGGATAAACTCTTTGAGAGGGAAGGATGCTGCAACTGTAACTCAAAACTAGACCGAATAACAACAATCTTGCCAACTTTCAGTTTTGTGTAATTGCAGCTGTACATAAACCCAGTATCCAAACCAACCAACCAACCAAATCTCTTCCATTCCAAAATAAGTGTAAATTCCTATCCAGTTACTCAGTGTTGTGTACGACAAGGCATCTGATTTTTGTTAGTGAAAGTCTAATATTAAAAAGTTAGGACCCTGTTTCATACAGTTCAGGCATTTTCATAGGCACTTTCTGTGACTTCATTTCAATTGATGTAACTGTGTAAAGATGACTTATCCACCCAGCAGTCTTTAATTTGGAGCCTAGAAAAACCTCTTTAACTCGCTAAAGCCTCCTGAAGAAACAGTATTCTCTCTCATTTAGATTTAAGCTGTTCTCACTGGCCAAGTGGAACACCCAAAGACCCTCTGGCAGGAAAATATTTGTTTAGCCACTGAGCTACTTCTGTTTACGCTCCTCTAGGCTGCAGAAACCAAACAGCAATGTTTTTAAAACACGTATGTGCATACACAGACATAGGTAAGTGTATTGTTGCTTTCCTTCCAGTTTCCCCATTCTATTCAGAGCAGCTGAAGGAGGGCCATGTCAGGCTGTTCCCGGCCAGCCGCTGCACGGCCCAGCACCTGGACAACCGCACAGTCACGGACAGCATGCTGTGTGCAGGAGACACCAGGCACCTGGACGATGCCTGCAAGGTAAACCCAGTTCTCTTCTCTTTCCCTTGCCCCTTTCTTTCCTCTGTCCCTGGTAGTCTGAGCTAACCAAACAAAACGCTTCAGAAAATCGTGCAAAGAAGTTGTGCAGCTGCCTACGTGGCAGTTCCAGGCGACTTTTGTTGAACAGAACAGAACTGCTGGCTCCTCTTTCTTTTTCCTTCCCTTGCCCCTTGTAGATGGGAAGGCAGGGCACACCTGGCCAATCAAACCAGAGCAACACAGGCTGAAAATCCCAAATACAGGAAATTCCACAAAACTGAACAGGAAAATCCACCCCAGCATTTCCTAATATTTTCTGTTATGTGAGCATGCAAAACACTCAGCAGGAGGTTCTGGAGGAGGAAGGGGGTGCCTCTCTACTGAAAAGCAGAGAAAAGAAAAATAAAGGCTGAAAGATGGTGGAAAAGGAACAGCTATGGCCTGAGGAAAAAGGAGGGTGTGCATTCCCTCCACAGCTGTTCTGTTTGAAGAGCTCTTCAATAATTTTGCTTCACTGTGACACACAGCCTTCCTCTTTTTCTTCTTATCAGCATCTCACCAACTTTTCATAAACGAGCACCATACAAAGTTAAACATTTTAGTTTACATCTCCTTTGGGTCTCCCCCCACCCCCGAAGAAAAACCAACACAGAAACAAACAAACAGAAAAGGAAATTGTTACTAATCTGCTCCTTCTCTGCAGGGTGACTCTGGAGGGCCCCTGGTGTGTATGAAGGATGAGCGCATGCACGTGATCGGAATCATCAGCTGGGGGATCGGCTGTGGCCGCAAGGACATGCCCGGTGTTTACACAAACGTGAGTCGTTACCTTGGCTGGATCCAGGACACCACGAAACCCTGAGGAAGAAACATGAACTCTTGGCAGTCTCGTGGCCGTGCCCTCACAACTTCCCTCTGGTGCCTTAAGGATGCTGACAGGGCTTCCTGTTTGTCCACAGGCTCGTGACTTTCAGTACAACAGGAACACAAACTGCAGTGTGTGAGAGGGGCACGTTCCCAAATCACCCTCCTTTCCATATTGCAGGTTACCAGAAACTAATCCTCCTTTTCCCCCGACATCCCCAAGCTTTCTACTTGCATCAAATCACAAGTACAATTTAAAATCAATTTTGGGCCAAAAGAATAAACCAAGAGAGAAGAACATCATGTATCCCTGAAGCAGATATGTTGTTTGGGAAATGGCTGTAAACTGAAGGCAAAGAGGACAGATCTAATTTCCTGAAAAGTTCATTTCCCTCCTTACTTGGCTGTAAAATTGGAAGACATTCCAGTCAGACTTAAGCTCTGTCCTCATAACATTTGACTTGAGTAATTTAAGCTGGTTTCAGCTTGACTGCAATAAGAAGAACAAAGCTGTGGACATATTTCCAGATCAATGTACTACTTATTTTTTCAGTTTAGAACTGATTAATTAACCGAGTCTGAGCTTAAACTCTCTGAGCAAATCCAGGATGGCATGCTTGTTAGAACATTCTATTCTTCCACGTGCTTTTTCTCCTGGTAAAGGAATAAGTAAAAATATTAACATCAGCCTGATCTGCCACAGAATCAGTGCATACTTTTTGACTATTAAATTTCTATGCATTATCATCTGATATGAAAGCAAAAGTTCTCTTTTCAGTGCAGTGGGGCAGAACAAAGGACAAGTGTAATGGTGGCAGTTCTAAGTGCCTGCTAGATTTACATCCACAAGTAAAAGGCCAAATCACATGTCACAAGGCTGCCTTTGTCCTTTAACAGAAGACAGGGCAGGTACAGCCAATCTGCATGAACCAGACCCGCAGTAATCAGCTTTACTGCCTCGCACTGCAGCTGCCATGTGACACTGGGTGGCATCTCTGCACACCCAATCTTTTGTCCAACTGCTTCATAAAGAGAAAGCAGGTGTAACTACTGTTTTACAAAAGGAAAACACTATATTGGGTCAGTTCAACAACAGCTCCCCTATTCCAGCCTGTGGAAGGGAAAAAAACCCCTCAAGATGTTTTTTTAGTGAAGAGTCACAGTTCAGGGTTTTGGTGTACATTTTTTTTTATTGTTGATAATTTTACTAAGTATTAATGTTGAGAAAAATACAAATCTATTTCCATTCATCTCCCCTAAACCCATTTCCAAGTGCTCTTGTGCCTCACTCTCCTGGCATTCCCAAGCCTGCCAAATACCTGCAGCCTGTAAAACAGTCAAAACTGTTCCACTGAGTAACACAAGTAAGTGTCCTCAGGAAAACTTTTGTTTCGTAATTCAAAGTCTATTAAATACAATATTTGAAGTCAATGTGATCTAACAGCCACCAATAAAATGTTTTCATCTTTACAACATCAACTTTTCCACTTCTTACCCTGTTTTTATCCCTGCTTGTCCTCTTCCAGGACACAGTAGCACCATCTTTAGACAAGGTCTAAGAATAGCCACTGCCATCTGCTTGCTTACTTTCCTCTGACTTTGCAGTTGCTATTGTCATATTCAAGGTCTCTCAGAACCCGAGTCAGCATCAGCATTTATGGTGACTGAGGTACACAGCTACACCTCCTGTTTCCTCCCAAGAAGTCCTTCTATCTACCAACTCACGTCATTCATGTTGGTCCCCAATTCCCCCTTCTACCCTGCTTCATCATTTATCCCACAGGACCTTGCAGCCATCTCAGACTGATAGAGAAAGCCTGACACAAGGGCCAGGTGCCTTTATGTACACAACAAACCTTTCAAGGCCTTGAGTAACATGAATCACTTCTGCAGGGAAGAAAAGATCCTTTAAAAATCAAAGCTACAAAGCCAAAGGACAGTATCAGTACTTGAGGAGCAGCAAGGTGGTATTTCATTGCCTTCATAATCAAAGCGCTATCCTGAGCCTGCTACCCTACCCAGTCAACAAAAATGGTTCAGCTGCACTCCTAAAGACATTTTCACTGAGATTCCAGGAAATGTTCAGCACTCTTTCTGGGAAACACTAAGAAAAATTACCAAGAAAGTAATGAATTTTAGCTTGTCAGACAGTGACTTGGTCCCTGGCTTACAATCCCAACTGCATAAAGACATTTATCTCCCTAAGGCACCCACTATTCACAATCCAATTGGCATAGTTTACCTTCCTCCTCAAACACCAACCATATTTCTTGTAAAGCCTGCACAAACCACACTGAAATGACACAGATGACATGTAAAAATTAATTTTATTGATGCCCTCGTTGAAGGTTTTATTTGCACTGAACATGCTCGGCAGTAATGTCACCTCAGCAGGTGCCACCTGCTGTGGCATTCCTCTGGAGCCTGGGAACCTGCAGCTCCACGAGCAAGATGCCACTCACCCACTGCAAGTCTCCATCCCACGCCCACCACAATGGATGCCATCCCTCCTTTAGGGGCTGTACGTGCTGCACTCCACAGCCACACGTGTGTGGTCACAGGGACAAGTTCTGCTCCCACAGAGACAACACACTGGCACGTGGTGGCCAAAGAGCCTGTTACAGACAATACCAGCAGTGCAGGGGCCTCCCATCTCCTATTTCTGTTCTACAGAGGGAGGAACCACAGGCTGGGATGGGCAGATGGAGCAACAGCTCCTGCAGAGGAGATGGTCCCAGGGAGCAATCCTTGAATCCACTGCACAGCACCTGACTGGTACAGAACTGGAATGAGGTAGGACAGGCAGGAACACTACGAAGGTACCAGGTCACAATTACATCAAAGGAAGACATCAGTGAGCAGAACAGCAGCATCTCCTTCATTTGCAGCAGGCAAGCAGTGGCAGAAAGAGGTTCCAACAAGTTACTAGGACAGTGATTATCTTCATTTACTCACAGCTGCAATTTCCAGCACTGCTGTGTCTTACAAAAATTTCCCTCCCTGTCTCTTCTGAATCTCCCAAGCAGCTGGGAGAATTCCTACCTTCAAATACTGATGAAATAACATGAGCAGCAGAATTACAGTGAGATGCCACCACACATCAGTTACAAGATTTGAGTGCATTGTTCAGAGATTTAAGATACTTAATGACCAAGATGGCTTATGAAGTCTTTAGAAGAAGCATCCACTTCTTCCCTTCCTCCCTCTGTGGCACCATTCCCAGTCTCAGACTTCTCAGCTATCCTAGGTGGAACAATCTACCCTTCCACTTTCTCCAGCCCCTTTGAGGCAAGATGATTTCCCTGCTGCCAAGAACTACACAGCTCTCCATCCTAACACACAGTGATGGAGAAGGACAGGTGCTGATCATCATACTGGAGTTGAAGTTTGTGGAAATTCAACTTTGGATTGTCTACAAAGGGATAGAAGCCAACCAAAATACAAGGAGGAGGAGATACAAAAGGCAATAAATACCTGGAATTTCCTCTAAGACAGCAAAATGAAGGTGATACAAGCTTACACAGCTGACTCACTAATCCCAAGGGACCTGAACACCTCTCCCATCCACTATTATTCCAAAGACTTCAGGACTCAGCTAGAGATGAGGTGGTTTCGGGTCAACCTTACCTTTCCCTGCTTTCCAGCAGTCTAAGCACTTGCTTTCCTGCTCATGCTACTACAGGCAAGGGAGCAACCCTAAACAGATGGATGGGGAAAGAGGCTGCATCCAACAGCCAGGGACAGGGGAAACAGGAGAAGTGCTCTTCCTCACTGTCAGGATCCTCTAGGTTCGCACTTGGAACTTGCCAGCCTTAGTCATGTATTTTATCCCCTTGAATGGCTTGTACTTCTCCCCATACATGTCCAAGCGATTCACCTTCAGTCCTAAAGGCAAACAAACACAGCATGAGACTGATGCTGCCACAAACCGAGCACACAGACCTTCAGGAGAAAGGGACAGAAAGCACAGGGCAAGTTTTAACAAGCAGCGAACAGGACAGAGAAAAGCTGACAACTGCCTAATGTCAGAATCATTCTTTACAACACAACCATACCCTAACATTCTTTATAGCTCTGTTAGCACCAAATGCAAGGAAATGTAGATAAATTGCTTTCCAGAGCACCAGAAAGAACAAATCCATGTACCTGTAGTCAAAGCAGACAATTTTTTGCTTGTAGAACATGTTTCAGGTAGGAGGTACTTTAGAAGGCCTGCAAAGCTGCTCCAGCTACATGCAGAATGAGCACTGGTACAGCAGAGAACATCCCCCTCCTTTACCTGACAGTCACTTACCAGATATAGCCAGCTGCTGAATTTTAAACTGCAGGTTAATGGTGGGGTTTTCATCTGGCTTTGATGTCCCAGCTTGCAGGCTCACACTACCCTTCAGGCTTGGCAGCTTCTGGGGGTTTATTTTCCCCACATCCCATGACAGTAGCTGAAAGGAACAGAAAATTCAGCAGTGAAACAGAAATGCTGTAACACCCTCTAAAGAAGAGTCCCCTTCCAGTGACAGCTTTTAGTGTTTCTCTGTGAAAAATGTCTTTTTCTTAGTAACTCACCTTTCATATTGGACAGACACAGACTGGACAGACACAGGCTTAAGGAGCAGATACCTCCCAAAAGCCTTCCAGGAATGATATTGCCACTACTTGTGCTAAAGGCCCCATGGACAAGCCCATCAGATTTAAATTTAAATTAACCCGAACAACAAAAACAGAACAGCCCAAACCAAATCAAAACCCACAACCAACTCTCAGCGCTGGCCAAGGACCAAGCCCAACCAGGTGTGCAGAAGTTTGTAAGGCACTGTAAGAAGTTTGTAACACTGCCTTTAGCAAAGCAGCATCCCTGGAAATGTCCCTGGAGGCAGGAACAGCTCGACTGCATTTTCTCAAAAACTAAAACAAAATAGTATCTAATTTCTACCTTGGCTCTCACCTTTGTAACTGGATCAAAGACATGTGTTCCCTGAGAGGGTGTAAGGGTCATATTTAACACGCTTTTTGGCATCTGGCTGGTGACCATCACTCCCTCCACGGTCTTGCCCATGGTCTGCTTTGGCCCCACAGTGATCTCAAACCGCCCCAGGGAGCTGCTGTCACGGAAACTGATGTTGTGCTTCACGTAGACAGGAATCGCCACGAGACTGGAATAGAGACAGAAACAGAACGTCCTTGTCCACCTCTTGCCTTCGTCTTTGCTTTTCCCAATGCACTGAAAACACTGGGAACCAATCTCCCTTAGAGAGAAGGAAATCCTACACCCATTTGTTTGATCTAAGGGTAAAGTGAGAATCCCATTCTCAAGTCTTAATTACAATTCTCTTCATCTTGTTTTATTCTAAAAGTTTTTTATAAGCACAGGAAATCAACAGCTTGATTATTCCCCACTGCCTAATTCTTTCCCTCTCTATTTATCTGCTACTAGTCTTTGAAAAACGATGGCTGACCAAAAAGAAATTATAGAATCACTGCTCCAAACAAGGAGAAAATGTGTTTTAAAAAAGGAAAAATGCAAGTTATTGTGCCCCTCTACCTCATTTGGCACCTCACACCACCTGATCTTCAAAAGTTCCCTTTTTTTCATCCTCTCCCTGGCCAGAAAGATCCAAACTTCACAACTCACAGCACTACATTCATCACCTACTTCTGAGCACTGACATGGTAGGAGAGCAAGCGAAAATTTCCATCGGGTGGAATGAAGGAGAGAATTCTTTCCGACTCCCAGCGCTTGAAACGCACACAGGGGTGGAAGCTGACGTCGTCCAGCAGCCGAGGGTTCTGCAGCAAAGACAAAGTCACGAGCTCTGTGAAGGCAGTTCCACCTCAAAGGACCTGCTCTGCCTCTCCATCTTCTGCCCTGAAGGGCCCAGCACGTGACACTCTGACCACCTGAAGGTGCCTGCATTCAGACATGGCCAACTGCTTGATGCTGTTGTATCCTGGGAAAGCAGCACTCAGCAACCTCTGTCCTTTCTTAGTGCATTTTTTATCCTAT